ATTATATATTATATATTATATTTATATATTATACATTGTAATATTATTATTTTTACATATATTACATATAATGAAAAAATGATTATAAAATTTATAAAATTTAAATGTATAATATATAATAATAAAATTATATAATTTAATGATTATATAATATAATATTAATTCTATTATTGATCTTCTATAATTATCTTTTATAATTTGATAACTTAAATGAAAATTTAAAAATAATATTCAACATTCATTAATATTCAACAAACAAACATTCTGTAGTAAAATTATATAAATATTTTATAATAAAACTTTAATATAATTTAAAACATTCTATAATAAATCTTATATTCAATGTTATCCTGTAATTGAATCATGATATAGTCTTTCATTTGTAGCAATATAATCTCAATTGATTATGAATTTTCTTTCGTAAAAATGACAAATATGATATTATGTTTGCCTCAATTGTATAATAAATCGATAGGATTTTTAATTTTAATTTTATAATAATTAAGAGTTATTATCCATTCGATGAAATATTGTTCTTAATATTTATTTTATATACTTTTTTATTATATATTAAAATGTAAAATATTCCTTTTTTTAGAATATGTGAAAGGCAAAGAGATGTTGATAGAAATGAAGATAGAGCAGAGGATGAGGACGAGGATGCTAATCCATTGGGAAAATGGCCACATGCTCTTAGTCCAGCTTTAGCATATCTCAGTTGCACCCTTGGTCTTTTTAATATAAGTAGATTTTCTATTCTGAGTATACAATTTGGAGGTATGTACAGACATTATTACGTAATTGTACAAAGTTTTTAATTTTTATTATATTTTGTACTATTTTCTTTTCAGCAAATTTTATTGTACAATTTTTAATTTTATCTTTGATATTGGGTATTCCACTTTTGACGTTACATGTATGTCTCGGTCAAAGATTGGCGGCTGGATCTGTAAATATGTGGAAAATTTCACCTGTTTTTCAAGGTGTTGGAATAGCTCTTCTAATTGCACAAGCTTTTATTGGTATTTATAGTGTTGTTGGCATATCTTGGATGTTCGTATATTTTAGGTATATTGATTTGTTTTATACAATTGTAATAAATTCTATGTTAAATTTCTTGTTATAAATTAATATCTAAATTTCAATAAATATATAATAATAATAATAAAATGTTTTCAATCTCTTTTCAATCTAGAGATTCGTTCATAACGAAACAGGATAAGTATCGATGGGCAGAACCATTTTCTTTATACAGGGAAGATAAATCTATACAAAATAATAGTAATTTGCATAAATTATATGAAACAGTACCAGATTATTTTAGCGGAGTTGTCTTGCAAAGACATCATTTAAATGAATCAGATCCTGGTGTTATAACATTGAAGTTTCAATTAGCTTTTAATTTAGCCGTTGTATGGATGATTGTATTTGTATCATTAAGCAAAGGTAAATATTTTATAATTTTATTATTATTTATTTATACTTTTATTTTTTTTTTCTAGTATTTAATAATTTTTTTCAGGATTAAAATCTTATGGAAAAGTAGTGTATGTTTTTACACTAGTACCCGTATTTGGTACTTTAGTTCTTTGTACAAAATTGCTCGGTCTTACGCCACCAGGTTCTATACATCAACTATTTCCAGCCACTGTATGGACCGAATTTTTTATTAATGGTAAATCGTGGTTAGCTGCATCTATTGAAGTTTTTCTTACATGGGGATTATTTGGTGCAGCTGCTATGCAGGTATCTAATATAATATATAATATATAATATAGTATTATAAACGTATATGAAAGTAATTGAATACTTGTAAATACATAATTATATATTATTGTTCTAGATAGCTGCTCATAATAAGCACAAACATCTATTACAACGAGATACGAGTCTTGTAATTGTATTAACAATTGCAGTTCTACTTCTCGCTGCTTTTCTGGCAAATACTTGTGTACAAGTTCTCAAACATCACGGATATATTTATATACCTAGTTCATTTGGTAATAATATACTATCAATTTAAATTAAAGCTAGAAAATTATATTTATATATAATATTCTATTTTAGAAAAAATATCATTATATATGTTTATGAGACCCGTCAATCAACCTGCACCATCAGGATATAGTAGTACACCAGAAAGATTTATGGCACATACTTCTTTTATTGTTGGAGAGCGTGTAACTCGTCCTGGTGCAGATTTTAGCATTGAATCTGGTTATCAAGCTTTAAGATTATCGACTGAATTGGTTCCCGCAACATTAGCATTACTAGGTACTGAGCAAGTATCGCCATTTTGGGCAATACTCTTTTATTTCATTCTTATTCTATTTGGAATAGCCCAACAGGTATGTAATTGAAATATAATAAAAATTGAAAATATTCAATTCTATAAGTTTATATATATATTTCAATATTATAGCTGGCAATATGGCATTGTGTGATAACTGGTATTATGGCAATCAATACAAAAATGATGAAGTTGTGGGAAACTACTGTTACATTCTTCAGTTGTGCTTGTGCTTACATACTAGGTTTACCTATGGCTACAGAAGTAAATATAATTATTTATTTTCATTTATTTATACAATGTATTTATGAAACATTTCAAATCAAAAATATTGATTTAAAATAATATCTGTTAATAATATTCAAAAATTATTGTACAGAATAATATATTGTTAAAATAAATTATAGATAAATTTGAAAAATCGATTTTAAAGAATAAACATAAAAATTGATATACAAAAATATCGATCGAAGTTTATTTATTAAATTAAAATTATATTTAAATTTATATTATATTAGAAACGAGATAAAAACAAAATGTAAAACAAATTGCGATTATAATTTAATAAATAAACTTTGGTCGAAAATTTTATTAATTTATGTCAATTTATGTTTGTTTCAGTCTCTAGAATCAATTTTCCAAAGATATCTCAAAAATATATTAATTTCCTATATATAATATTATACTAATATAATAATTTAATATAATATAATATAAAGTGCTTGTTTTGTTCGAACGTAGGATTTAAAATTATCTTCTTATCAGATAGACTATGTAATATTCTATTTATATAGATAACAATTATCAATCCAAGTACAAATCTGATTAAATATTTCATCAGTATGAATAGAGTCACCGTGTGTTTTACAAAATGAATAATCGAGTTAATTCAATAGAACGACGAAGTGTACCTTGTTATTTCTGCAACAATTTTTTGGAAGAGAAATATTTGTACAATCATGTGAAACATTGCGGATCTGTTTTAGAGGAATGTTCTTTTAAATGTGGAGTTTATGTACCTCGAAAAAATATGGAAAATCACCGAAAAATATGCAACAGGAATATTACTAAAGGAAATAATCAGATAAAAGAAATTCAAGATTCTTTATGGAAAAATAAAGTATTTTCTGTTCTAACATTGCTACGATCTGCAATAAATATTGAGGAAAAAGAACGCAGAATTCTTCACGATAATATGTCTCAATGCTTAAAATTACTGAATTCTCAACAAAAATCAATTGATTTTTTACGATTTCAACTTACTAATATAATAAAAGAATGTCACCAGTCTACTGAAATGTTAAATCAAAAATTAAATGATTTAGAAATCACTTGTGATAACATGGAACAACGTACTAGTTTAAGTTTTCAACAAATCTCGGAACAATTGAAATTTTTACATGATGAATTAACTAATGAACAAAATAAGCATGATGAAGTATTAGGTAATTGGTCTTTAGAATTAAAAGATCTAAAGACTTTTTTAACAAAGGAAAATGTACATATAAATAATATATGGCAAGAACAACAACAGTCAATTAACGATCTTAAATTAGAATTGGAAATGAGATGTAAGAATTCAAAGGAATTAATGGATCAGCAAAGATTCATAATGGAGAAAATAAAAGATCTAGAAAAAGAAATACAAGGACAATTGGAAATCACTACTAATCAAAAGAGTGATATCAAAGAATTGAAATTTCAAATGAAAGAAAATCTAAAATATTTAGAAGAATTGATTAAAGATAATTTAAAATTTAATATTTCAGAATTTCCTAATTATCAATATAAACACGAATGTTGTGATCAATATTCAAATAATGGTCGTCTTTTATGGAAAATTGATCGCTATAAAGAGAAAATGACAGAGGCAAAAGAAAATCATTGTGTTCTTTATAGTCCAAAGTTTTTAAGTAAAGAATATGGATATACTTTAAGATTAAAGTTATTTCTAAATGGTATAGGGCAATGGAAAGATCGACATATTATTGGATGTCTACAAGTTGAAACTGGAAAATGGGATCCACTCTTAGATTGGCCTTGTATTCTTAAAGCAACAGCTATCTTAAGAAATCAAGAAAATCCAGCAAATGATGTAAAAAAATTTGTAAAAGCTGTAGGACAGGATAAATCGAATTCTAATGATGTGAATAAAGAAACTGGAATTTACATGTTTATTCCACATACAATTTTAACTCGTTATCCTGGATATATTAAAGACAATGCATTGTTTTTAGATATTCAAGTGACAAATACAAAATCTAGTGTTTCTACATTATCTTTAACATCATAAGTAGTTAAGATAATAGGACAAATTATTAATTGTAAAAAATAATATTGTAAAAGTAAATACGTATCTATAAATTGTACAATTTTATCGTTAAATGAGAAAAAAAAATGAATATTGTTTATTTCATAGAAATAAATCGTTTGTTTCTAGCTGGGCATACACGTTGTATATTATCTAGATTATACAATCGGAGGTACATGGTGGATAATAATTTTATATTTGGTGCAAGTCGGTGCTGTATTCGCAGTACGAGGACGTCCACATAGCGGTGAAGCGGTAGTTGCCGAATTGTTTCCTCCAACTGGTCGATGTCTCAGACATTGGGCTGGTCCTCTTCTATCATTTACGTGGAATGTTATATTACCTGTTATTCTTATGGTATGTTTTTGATAAAAATAATTGTATATCTAAATTTATTAAAATTATTGATTTAAACTCAACAGGTACTTAGTATTACGATATTTAAAAATGCTGGATTTCGAGAACTTTATTCTTATCGACGAACTGTTAAAGAATATTGGACTATTTGGACAAAACAACTCGGAGCTACAATCCAATTAATACCAATACTAACAATACCGGCAGTAGCTATTATACAAACATGCCGATATCTAAACAACGGTCCACCTGATATATTTGATGTAAGATTTAATTAAATTTTAATAAACTAATAATATAGAATAATCTTTAATAGTTAATAAATAGTTAATAATTAACAATTTTATTCTATTTCTTATTTTTTATTATGCATAATAAATTAATTAATAGATATTTAATAATTAATTAATAGATATTTAATATTAATTTTTATTGTGCTAACATTAGAATAATCAAGTGGAAGTTAATATAAATCACTGCGAACAATGCAATGGTGTAAGTTTTCCTTTCTAATCATTGTACATTTAACATTTATTTAATATTATTTATTCATAGATAAAAAAAAGATGTCTGTTTTTATAGATAATATATATATATATTTATATATATATATTTATAATATCATAAAAAATTTTAATTTCGCAGAGAATTCAATTGTTATATCGACCATCTTTGGAATCGGATGATCCACGAGATACGCAAACACATATTGGAAATGATATAAATACTAGCATTCATGGTAATGCTATTGTGCATGCGACGGCAGAAATACCATTTGAGGATCCGCCACCGAAATATACACCTCCTCCAAGTTATACTACAGCAACTGGCGCAAGGATAGCAAAGATGTTGAGGCAAAGTTTTCGAAGAAGTGTACGTCGAATAGTAAACGTTCTTGGTGAAAGCAGTACTCCGAGACAAAGACCAGCGTTACAGCCTCCACCTCCTGATTATGCTACTGTACTTGTAGAAATGAATCAAAATAGACAAACACAAGATGTAACAATTCATATAACTGAAACAGGAAATGAGAACACTAATTTAAACATTCGAAATAATGATACAGAAAGACATAGGCCTAATACAATAGACAGAACAATGGCAATTAGTGCAATAGAAAACTCGGATGTGGTCGGAAGGTCACATTCGATACTCGAAACACCTCGATCATGTTTAATTTCATCGAGCAGTTCAAATTTAACTGCAGTCGATGTGGCAAATTTACTTCGTAGTAGTATTAGAAGAGGAACTACACGAACGCAACATTCTTTACATAGAAGTTTTTGTCATGACGAACCAACTGTAGCAGCATCCGTTGAAAATCTAGTCGAGGCTGCGGCGCCAATCGGTGAAGAATCCTTAGTCCTTCCGAAGGACGTGTCTCTAGTCTCCAATGAACAGATTAACAATAATAGCGATGGTAAAAAGACTGCCGAAGAAATGGATTATACCGTTTCCGTGATATAGATTATATTTGTCTTTAAAATTTTAATGAAAAATAATCTAAAGATTGTTTAATTTCTGCTATATAATGTTATTATTATGGTGATATAGAATCATATTGCACTGTCGACTACAGACCAGAGATTTAATCATTACAAGATCAAAAACCAGACATTCTAATTTAGCGACCAAATTTAATAATAATGTTGAAAAATTGTTAATATCATAATAAATTTTTCTATCAAATTTTTACATTTGGTCTGCACTCATATTTTAATATCATATGACTCATATATTTCAATTGTCATTACGATTAGCTGTTATCTATATGTTACCGATAATTTCATAATCGCTAACCACATATTGGTATCGAGAATTAAAGTCAATCAAATCTACATAACAGATTTTGTTGAATGCTTGTTATAAGTTTTTGTATAAATTTGATATAGAATGTATTATATTATTATATTTGGTAATATTAGCAAATTAGATATAAAAGAAAAAAATATAAGAAAATCTGTTAAAGTAAATCTGTTAACTTTTTCAGAGTAAATCATTCAGAACATAATAAAAATCGCCATATGAATTTTATACATATATACATATATATATATTTTTAATATTAAAATGATATTTTAGTATCACTAATAAAATATAATAAATTTTAAATAGTTATATGCTTTTATTAAAAACTTAAATGACTAAAGTTACAAAATGATCGGTTTTTGACATTTTCTGAATATATTGTAGATTTTATTATTTTTGACAACAAGTTATATTAAAGTTATATTAAAGATCTGTTGCCAATCTAGTCTTTGATTTTATCAATAGATTATGCAAAATCCAAATTTAATACGAAAATAGATAATTATGAATTTATAAATTTTTTCAATGTTTATTGTTGATATACTGCTAATCTGACAATGATTTATAGAATATGAGCTTAAATATATTTTTTTGAATCTAATGGTTTCCGGTAATTAGTCGACAGAAAAAGCGAATAAATACTCGACTTTTACTTAAATAATTAAAGTGATTAATTTAAGTCATTCGAAATCGTCATCCATATAAACAAAATATCAAGTTAAAATTTGCAATCGTTTAATCAGAAATAATCAATCATTTGTCTATTTTTGGTCGATTGATCTAATCATTAAAAGCTATTAATAAATAATTGCGGTTTAATAGTTCTTAGTTCTTCTTTTGAATAAATAATAATCTTTAGTTCAACTCGTATCAATATTCATTTTTATATACTATATTATAAAAAATGGATATGTTGCTAATGATTTTGATCATCGAAAAATTAATTTTATTTTTTAGACTGAATTCAGTATTTTTTTAATCTTATTACTTGACAAATAATTGCATAATATTATAATTTTATTTATCCTAGCAATTTTATAATGTGCAAATAAAAATCAGATAAGGATAAACTTGTTTTATTACTTATTATAATAATCTTCGATTTTATACGATCGTATACATCGAAATTGTTTAATGTTCAATCTTCTTTAAACTACTATTTTACTTTTAACATACTATTTTAGCATATTGGCATTTTTAATTAAGACTGTACAACTAATGCGTCTATATAATATGTACATATATAAATGTACATATATTTGCTGCAATCTTACAATAGTTTTATGATAATAGTGTATATAATATTTTAACAAATCATATTAAAATAAATTAAGAATTTTTTCATTAACTATAATGACTTTACAATTATATAATCCATCCAACGTTCACCAAAATTTATATATAAATATTATATAAATTAATTTCTGAATAATAATTAAAATGCATATATGCATTTAAATTATAAATATATGTATATTTTTGTAATTATCATTACAAAAAATAGCAAAAGAAAATTGAAATTAATTAATTATTAATAGTATAATGCGCGAATTCGAAAAATTAA